TAAACTCTAACCCCCCTGAAGCCTAAGCCTCACCTAAACCCTACGCCCACCCCTGAACCCTAGGCCCTTAACCCTACGACTTCCCTGCAAAACCTAAAGCACACACAAGGCGTAGGGTTGAGGATTCAAGGCCCTCGGGTTTTCAGGCCTCGAGGATTCGGGGACAAGGATTCCGGGTTTGGAGGTGTATGTGTCTTAGGGGTTTGACTCGCTCAACCTGTCGCTCCGAATCTCGCTTAAACCAAAAGGTCAAAACCCCCGCGAACCCCCGAACAACTCAAGGCCATGTAAACTGAAAGCGCCAAAAACGGGCCTGTAGAGTTGCGGGCTGTTGGTGAAATCGCCAGAGACTGCTTGCTTTTCAGTGGCTGGCGAGCGCACGCTTTCGCCAAACCACCCGAAACCCCAAACCCTAAACCCGAAACCTTAAACCCTAAATCCGAAACCCTAAACCCTAAACCCGAAACTAGCTCTTCTGCCGCTTCGCAGGTGGGTGGCTCGCGGCATCCTGGGGTTGCTGGCTTGGCACTTCTCGGGTTTAGGGCTTCGCTGTTTGCAGGCCTTTTTGGTTTTTGAGGTTTCTGGTTTAGGGTTCAGGGTTTAGTGCTAGGGTTTAGGGTTTGGGGGTTGCGCGGCTCCTAAGGGCCCTAAGGCTCGAGGGTTTTGGAGTTTGAGTTGGAGCTTCACTACCCGGCTGCAGGCCCGGGACTTGATGTTGAGGATGTTGGGACAACTTCGCATGGAAACGAATAAGTAAGGATACCCTAAGCTTAACTTAAACCCTAAACCCAAAAAAGTGTCCCTAAACCCTAAACCCTAAACCCTAAACCATGGAAAGTAAAACCCTAGGCCCTAAACCCTATAACCCTAGACATGGTGCGTACCAATGATCCTCCAAGTAGAAACCACTGTCTCCTCAGGGTTTAGGATGCAGAAATTGGGAACAAGGGTTTAGAGGGTTTAGGGGGTTTAGAGGGTTTAGGGGGTTTAGAGGGTTTAGAGGGTTTAGAGGGTTTAGAGGGTTTAGCGGGTTTAGAGGGTTTAGAGGGTTTAGAGGGTTGAGGGCTCAGGGCTTAGGATCTGGGACTAGAACTCTAGGAACTAGGGCTTAGGATAAGCTGAGATTTAGGATTTGGGATGTCGGTCTGAGGAAGCAAGGTTGGGATCTAGGATTTTCGGATTCAGGATGCACTTAGGGAACCAGCTTGCAAATCTCAGGTCTCGTGTTTCTGTGATTGTCGCCATTGGGAGGCGGCCTATGATGAGATGCTGCACCCTGGGATCAGACGCGGCTATAGGCCATTGGGAGGCTTTTGCCTTTCGGAGCCCCCAAAAAAGGGGACCACAGTTCAAGAATCCGCTGTTGGGGGTTTTGGTGTGTGTGGTTTCGAGGTTTAGGGGGCCAGTGCTTGGGTGCAGGGGCCGAGCTAACTGCAGAGCAGCTGCCGGCAGCAAGCGCCGCACGATGGGGCTGACGTAGCCTTGCCACGTGCTTTGCGCGTGCTCCGCAGAAGGGCAACTTGGGCTTCAAAGATGCAGCCTTTTGGGGCCCCGAAACCCCAAGGACCCGAAGCTCAAGTGCTTGGATCCGGCCCAAGCCCTGAAACCCTGAAACCCTAAGCCAGGAACCCTTCCCTTGAAAACCTAAATACACGAGACCCCTAGACCCCAAACCCAGCATCTCCCCCCTATTCTCTTTCGGGGCATCTTTGGGTTTAAGCGCTCAGGCGCTCAGGCTTTCGAACATAGGGTTCAGGTTTCAGGGTTTCAGCGTTTTGGGGTTTAGGGTTTAGGGTTTGCGGGTTTGGGGGTTTGGGGTTTTGGGGTTTGGGGTTTTGGGGTTTGGGGTTTGGGGGTTTTGGGGTTTGGGGGTTTTGGGGTTTGAGGGTTTGAGGGTTTTGGGGTTAAGGGTTTCAAAGGGGTTCAAGGGACTTTCATAGGCTCGCGGCTGGTTTCGGCCGTCCACAGGATCGGGAAGAACTGCTCGCTGACCTCCGAACACCCCTCGCCCAGCACGTAGCGGCCGTAGATGTAGTCCTGAAGGGTTTAGGATTTCGGGTTTAGGGCTTAGGGCTTCGGGCTTAGGGCTTGGGGCTTGGGGCTTAGGGCTTGGGGCTTAGGGCTTGTTAGCTCGGAGAGCTGCGTATCCTAACACCCCCAAGCCCTAAACGCCAAATCCTACAACCCCCCCGACCCCCCCAAATCCCATCAACTATGGGGTGTAGGGCTTTACTGTAAACCCCAAACCCTAAACCCCAAGTCCGTGTCAACCCCAAACCCCAAACCCCAAACCCTAAACCTAAGCCCCAAACCCTAAACCCTAAACCTAAACCCTAAACCCTAAACCCTAAACCCTAAACCCTAAACCCTAAACCCTAAACCCCAAACCCCAAACCCCAAGTCAACGGGTCAAAGCTCCCGCAACAGGGCCACGGGGACCCGGGGCTCCCTTAATGAGCTTTGGGCGAGAGGCCGGATGAGGAGCTTCGCGGAACTTCACGTCTCCTCCACGGGGCTTCAGGGCGTAGGGTTTAGGGTTTAGGGTTTAGGGTTTTGAGGTTTAGGGTTTAGGGTTTCGGGTTTAGGGTTTAGGGTTTAGGGTTTCGGGTTTAGGGTTTAGGGTTTAGGGCGGGGGGTCCCAGCTATAGGGGCTTTGAGGTTTGAGTGCTTCAAGGCGGGTTCCGAGTTCGGTGTCCGACCTCACGTGCCTCGAAAGCAAAACCCCCAAATCCTGCTATCCTCAGCAAGAACCCGAGAAGTCCACCATCCCCAAACCCCAAAAATCCCCCTTATGCTAGCAGTCCTCAGCAGGCATGAGAATCGGGGTGCCCTAATTTCTACGAAGGACTACTAGTATAAGGGGGAACATCCCAAACCCCACCAAAGAACCCAAGCATCCTCACCTCGATGGCATAACCCCCCCAGCACCCGAAGAGAGCCTTGAAGCCCTCAAAGGCAGGGCTTTGTGGTCTTGAGGTTTTGGGGCTCGGGGGGGCTTGGGGTGTAGATTACAGGGTCTTCGGGGCCTTTAAGCTTTAGGGCTTCCCCAGACCCTAAACCCTAAACCCGAAACCCTAAACCCTAAACCCTAAACCCGAAACCCGAAACCCTAAACCCTAAACCCTAAGCAGGCCCTAAGCCCCGGTTCAAGGGCTCCGAAACACCCGAAGTAGGCCTCGGAGGAGGTGAACACCCAGCGCACGGCGCGGCCGATCCTCCCCACTTCGGCTCGAGATGGGGTTTGCGAAAGGTTTAGGGTTTAGGGTTTAGGGTTTAGGGTTTAGGGTTTAGGGTTTAGGGTTTAGGGTTTAGGGTTTAGGGTTTAGGGTTTAGGGTTTAGGGTTTAGGGTTAGGGTTTGGGGTTTAGGGTTTAGGGTTTAGGGTTTAGGGTTTAGGATTTAGGGCTTAGGGCTTAGGGCTTAGGGCTTAGGGCTTAGGGCTTAGGGTTTCATAGGCTTGAGCAGGATTCCCAAACAAGTAGACCCGAATCTGGATAAAACCCTGGGCCCCCAGACTGAACATTAAAGCCCTAGGGCCCTACACCTTACCTGACATCTCCACTCCAGGGTTCGGATTTCGGGTTTAGGGTCTAGGGTTGTGTAGAAGAAGACTCTCGGAAATCTGATCCCCTGCAGCTCCGCACGCTCAAGCTCAATCCCTCCTGCACCCCACAGCCCATCCCACATAAATAAACCCTACACCCTACACCCTAAACCCTAAACCCTAAACCCTAAACCCTAAACCCTAAACCCTAAACCCTACACCCTAAACCCTAACCACCAGACCCTGGACCAGACTCTGCTTCCCTCCACAGGGAACTGAGCTCCCAAACCCAAAGTCCTTGGTGGTATTCGGGCCCGAGCCGTGCCAGACGTCCTCCCCGGAATCCCCCACAGAATCAAGGGCTTGGGCTTGGGGTTTAGGGTGTAGGGCTTAGAAGGGGTTTAGGGTGTAGGGCTTAGAAGGGTTTCGGGTTTGCGGTCTAGGGTTTTGGGCTTAGAAGGGTTTGGGATTCAGAATTTAAGGCCTAGGACTGCCACAGCAGGAACCATTGACAATCGAGACCGCACAGGAGGTTCGCGCGAAGCTACTCCTGGATCTCGGGATCGGAAGCTGCGGATGTCTGCAGTTCATGCTGAAGTGAGCTGGTTGCTGGCAAGAACCCAGGGCCCTGCAAGGCTACAAGTTTAAAAAAACAAAAAAGAAGCTTCGCGGGATCCTGGTGGTGGAAGACCGCGGATCCACAGGGAACCTCTGCAAGCAGGCGCTTCTCTCAAGCTTGCGTGCGCCAGTAGAGGCGTGTTTCTGGAGCGCTGGGCTCAGCGGCTTGTCGTTTTCTTTTGCTGAAGCTTAGTTGCTGCGTTCAGAAGCCCCAAGAAGTTTACACTGTTAGTTCTATAAGGGATTCTGGTATCCCAAAAAGGTGTAAAGTGTACTCATTCAGCTACGAAGTAAGGACTTTGCACATGAAGAAGACCATGCCTTCCTCACAACCGTCGAGTTAGAAGCCAGGGGAGGCACTCAGGGTTCGGGACCCAGGGCTTTGGGTTCAACCCACAGGCCGAAGACAGCCGCAAATGGACACCCCCTAGGGTCAGGCCTCCAGTAACCCCAAAACGCAAACCCTAAACCCTAAACCCTCAACCCAGGCGTCTGGCTGTCAGGCGAGTGTAGTTTTCCTTAGGGATCCACCGCCGAGCCATACCCTAGCGCGTGCATCGCACCGCCCTGGACCTGCCATTGCACTGCTGCTGTTCACTCAGCCAACTGCAACTGGCAGGAAAGGGACCGATTCCACTGCTGCCCGGGAACTGCTGCCGTTTAATTGGCCACTACCGGGTCTGCCCCCACTTTGCCTTTTGACAGGGACTGGCAACCCCTTGATTGGAATCTACGACATTTTGGATCTGGTACCTTTGGACAGGCCATTTCCAAGATCCGCTTTTCCGCCTTTTGGCAAGGGACTGGCGACCCTTCCGGAACGGACCGCTCACCGGTATATGACAATCTGGTGGCGTGGAGCAATCGCTCTTTTTGTGCTGATCTTCGCGGCGGTTCTAGTTACTGGACCCAGACTGGAGGCCGGCAACCACGGCACGTGGGGAACCCTCCTGGCACAGACAGCACCGCAAATTGAGGTGCCGAGCCAGGACAGTGCTGAGGGGCTTCCTGTCAGGACAGCCCTTTACGGGATTGCGAATTGCAGCAGCGGCACGCCGACTACAGGGACATCACTCCAGGTCGCAACTGCCACGTGCTGCCTTACAGCTGCTGAGGAAGCGAACAACGACAGCACCAATGGCGACTCACGCCTGGTGCAAGAGTTGCTACGCCAATCGTTCCAACAAGGCCGCCTTTTGTGCGGTATGCGGTGGCAAGCTGAGCACCTATGTGGCTGCAAAGACGAACACCAGCAGCTACACGGCCCCAAGCTCGGTAGTCCCTTGGAAGACCGAGCGGTGGGAGAGCCCACGGAGGCGGAGCTCTCCGAGGCGAAGGTGGCAGCCGGACAAGCCAGCGCAGACGGAAGGACCCAAGGAGCCCGAGAAAGGCAAGGGCAAAGGCAAGCGAACGGAGGTGGTGGCACCGCATACGAGACAGCTGCCAAAACCCCCGTTGGCGAGGGAGCCACCGGCGCCACGAGAGCCAGGCCCGGCGCCGACACAACAGGAGGGCACCGAAGACAGTCGTCTTCTCGAGGCGCTCATGCCGCACATCAAGGCAGAGGACTTGCCGGAGCAACTGCGAGGTCTGATCAAGCAGAAGGAGCAGAGCAATGTCAAGTCGGACGCGAAGCACCTCCATCGGTTGGTGGCGAGGCGAAGCGAGGCCAAAAGGAATCTGGCGGCACTCCGGGACGAGAGAGCCAACTACGAGCAATCCTGGAGCAAGTACGCGGGCGACCTCATGAAGATCCTGCAGGAACAATGGGATCAACGCGACTCCACTCTGCAAAACCTGGACAGCAAGGAGCAGGAGTGGATGACGCAGCTTGCAGAAGCCACAAAGGAGCTGAAGGCGGCTGCCAAAGACAAGACGGAAGTCCACGCGTCAGACAGCGAGCCGATGTCCGACACGGAGGTGGATCGCACAGCAGAGACGGACGCGAAGGTGGTAGCAAAGCGGGCGGAGCTCACGACCTCCCACCAGAAGCTACAGGAAGCGCTGGCAGGGGTCAAAGCTGCAGCAGAAGCAGGTGCGGAAAGGGAGAGGACCCCGCGTCGAGGCACGAAGAGAGACGTAGTCACCGTGGAGGACGAAGACAAAGAGTCCAAAGCGGCCACTGCAAACAAAGCGCTCAAAGAGGATGGAAAGCAGCCTTTTTGATAGGCCTGGGGACGAGCCTTCGGGGACCCCTCGGGCAAGAAGCCGTTCACAGTGTTATGCATGAGCCAGACTTTGTGAACGTAGACATGGCCTCCTGCTTTGCTGTAGCCCTTCGGGGTGATGTGATCTGTGGGACTGCCACATGGAATGATCCTCGCATCGAGCCTGATCTCGGACAGGAGCCAGGGGAGATTGCTTATGAGGATGAGGCCATTAATGGAATCAACTGCACTGCCGGAGATGGTTTGGTCAGTGTTGGCACCAGCTACATGGCCGAGGACGATGATCGCTGTTTTGGGGGGTTGCCCCGACAGCTTGTACATAGTAGTCATTGCCAGGCCAAGTCATGCCTGAAGCAAGACAGAATTTTCCGCTTTGGGGTCACTTTTGTAGATGAGGAGGCCACCAAGCATGACTTTTTCAAGAAATTGTGCCGGGCCGCTTTGCCATGCATCTTGCGTTTCCGCGAAGAGACCGCCCAGCTCCACGACGCGCACTGCGGAAGGACAGCAGCAAACCCCAACGCTCCATGTTACCCACCCCCCAATTCTGTTACGGACTGGGGGGGTTCAGGTTGCTTACATGGGGGTAAGTCAAAACCACAGTATGGAGCAAAGGCCCCAAGCGCGCACCCCATGACAAGGATGCCTGCCGGCATACCGTCCCATGAGGCAGTTACCCCAGAAGTCACACGGGGCACTCCTTCCTACACGGTGCACTGCCCCCTGAGCGATGGTGAAGTTGAAGCCACCCTTGCTGAAAATGACCTGCGAGACAGGTATGTTTTCTTCGACACTGCTTCACATGTTCGCTGGAGGAATAGGCTTGATAGTTGGGGTTTAAAGGAAATCATCCAAGATGCCATACAGCACTCGTCTGCACAGCCGATTGTGAGTGTCACCGTGCTGAGACACACGCTCGCAAGGCTACCCCGAGTCCAAATTGTGCTCGGCAGCGCAAATCTGCCCCCTGGCTGGCGAACCACCCCAGTGGACCTCCGGGCAGTCGGTCATGACATTTGCACTATTGGCATCCCTGCAGACGCCTCGTCGTACGAGGCAGCCTTTCGCACTCTGCAGCATTGCAAATCGCCTAATAAGTTGGCCAATTTAGTTGCTAAGGCTCGGTGGGAACCAGGACCCCCTAACTGCCCAGTCCTTGACCCTTTTAAGCCAGGAGTCCTGGACATAGAAGCAGCTCTGGTTTGCAACCCAGTCTCCATAGGCGGCTCTAGCAGCTCGGGAGACAGCACATCGTCCAAGACGCATAGCACCGCTAGCCAGCAGACGCCATTCGAATGCATGGCAGCGGACTGCACTGAGGGCCGTGACACTTTCACTGTTGCATTCCACGCGGTCGGCCATCGACCTTGGACGCATGAATTTGCGAGGGTCGCCACACCTGATATCCTCGCCCGTGTTGCGGCACAGCATATGGCTGTTGTGACAGGTGTGCGAGGCTGGAGGACGCAATTCCTTCAACAGCAGCCATGGGTGTCTGGCATTGATTTGCATTGCCTCATATCACCTATCGCCCCCCACCAACAAGGAGTGTTCCTAGCGGATTTCAGGAGGGTCTTTGGGGCAGGCTTGCAAAATCTTGCGGCACTTGCCACTGAATTGGGCACCCCGCAAGCAGCAGGGAGCATGGCCGCAGCAGCCACCCAAAAGCTGAGGGAATGGGCCTTAGCCGACCCACCGGATGATTTTGTCATCACCACTGCCAGGAGAGGAGCTCTCTTAGTACCGGCAGGAGAGGAGGTGTGCATTGTGGTTGACACTCTCCAGGTCGTTCATGAACTACCGGGATTGCGCCAGCACCTCCTGCAAGCACCAGGATCGGGACTGTCCCATGGTAGTCTAAGCGGCACCATATCGGGGGTAACGGTTGCCACATGCCCCACTTCCACTACCACGACCTCAACCGCGCCGAATGCCAGCAGCCCTGAATTACCTTTTTGGGGGGTACCTTTACCCTCGAGGGAACCCCTCTTAGTGAGGCTAGGGCTCGCCAGCTTAGGGGTTTTCACAGTCGAGTTCCAGGGCAATCCTGATGCCGATGCCATTCTCGCCAGAGCGTGGGCTGCAGTCATGAGGGAACACGACATTCCTCCGGGGCTGGCGTTCCAATTGGCTCCATGCCAGCCTGCCACTAGCGCTGTGCATAGAGAAATCCTGCTCACTGACTGCGAAGACGATGCATCGACGCAGGTTGCAGTGTGGATAGACCTTAGACCACAGGGACTCCTTCACTTCCGCAAAGTGCACAGGACTTTCAGTGCACAGGCACTCCTGGCCGAATTCCCTTTCTGCAAGGGTTTCTATCTTAATGGCAGGTTGTGGGATGATAGCGAGGGTCTACATCAAGGGGACTACATAGTAGGCTCCATCACGCCACAAGCACCTGATGTCCGATCCAACTCCTACTTCCTGCAGCGCATTTCAGGTTTGTGTGCCTTCACGCTTCCCTTCATGCCGCCTGAACAGGTCTTTTTCGAATCAACAGGGGACTTTGAACTAGACCAGGAGATAGCGGAAGTAGAATGGCAGGAGGCCATTTATAATAGAATGGCAGAACTAGGACAAGACCGCCAGGATCAGTCTGCGCATTTTGTGATCTTGGGGCCCCGCTTCTTCGCAATAGGAGCTGGGCAAGGGACCCCTACCTTACATTCTGTAGCTGCATGGCTACGGCAGTGGGCGAGACCGTTCTCCAACCGGCTTGTCGTGCATGACACCGGAGGCTTCTTGGGCGCATGCCGCTTGTTTGTTGTGACCTCCACATCAATGGACAGGCATCAGGAATATGTGCGGATACATGCCATAGGAGACAACTTCCTTGCATTCAGAGCGCCACACCAGGTCTTGCCGGCACAACTCCGCCAGATTGTGCCGATCAGCGATGCAGACAACAGACCAGTCCCAGGGAGAGACTGGTACGGCCCAGAATTCCCTTCGACCGACCTCCACCCTCTCCTTTGCGTTGGACATACGCAAACTGACGACTGCGGTCTAGAAACGGCCGTGCCCGGCCCGCACAGACTGCAGCCTGTCTGCAGACTGCAGCGTCGGCAACGTTCACATGCGCGGGCAAGAACTGCAGACGCCACCGAAGCGTCAACATGGACGCTTGAGGGTTTGGAGGCAGCCGCCTTCCATGATGCAGGAGGACAACAGCCGGTGTTTTACTTTGAAGGTGACCGGTCGACCACGGACACAACCACTAATATGCTTACGGTGCCGGGAGACCTAATGGTCTCTGTGGTCGCAGGCCCAGCCATTGCGATGACAGCTGTCCATGCCCCAACACCCACAACTTTGGCAAGCACCATGGCAGAACTTGTGACTGCCCATGTGATTCGAGGTCGGGTCTCCGGTCAAGCCATCATCCGGATGGCACAGGCACATCCGACCTTTAGCCGCTCCCACCAGGAAGCCTTGTTCATCCTCATGCCCCTGGACCTGCGTGTCCACATCCTCATTGATGCAAGGCAAGTCGGCCGAGGCCTTGTGCATAGGGCTATTGATAGCGATGAAGACCCCTGGACCTTAGCCCGGGATGAGGGAGCAGAGGACACGTGCTTTCTGTACATCAATGGCATACCAGCTCCACTCTTCCGCTCGCCTTGGCAGGATGGAGACTACTTGCTCATCAGTTCGGAACCATGCACATGCCCTGCATACTCCAGACAAGTCCTGTTCCGCCGTTGGCCCCTGATCGGAATTCTTGCCATTGATGCACTGGTCATTGACACAAGGGCCTTGCCGACAGAGGAGAGATTAATCTTTGGAGCGATACTGCGGGATTTCGAAAGAGCATGCGACCTTTGCCACACTCAATTAGGTTTCCGCATTCTCATTTCTAGGCAGGCCTTTGTGTGCAGCCGTGAAAGGGGGGAGATCATCATCTGTGTGCCAGGCAGGCTTCCGGTGACAAGAGACCAAGCCGCAACGGCGATCACTCTATTGCAGACGTGGGTTGATGTGCAGGAGGTGGTAGATTCAAGAATTATGTCCGGGGACCATGCCGTCTTCCTCGCACGAGATGCGGCCGAGATGCGGCAGACATGGCACCTGGTCCCCATCCCACATATGTTGCAGTTGTATGCTCTGTGGCCTGTTGACCCATGCACAGTCGTTCGCACCGCAGAGCTCCCGGCACGGGCGGGATTGACTGTCAGCGCGGTGCGGACACCAGCACATGGGCACACCCACCACTTCCATCCTACTGCCAGCCATGCGCTGAACCTTATTCAGCAGTCTGCCACGCTCAGCCGCAGTATCCACCCGGACCCCCATGGAGAACCGCAGATCTCATTTGCCGAGCAAGCCGCACAGATGACTACTGCAGACATCTACAGGATCACGGGCTGTAGGGCTGATCATTTGCAGGTTGCACACGGTTCGGTGCCCCACATTGCACCCTCGCATCTTGAAGCGATCATTGACCGCGCCTACCTGGCAGCTATAAGAGGCGGTTCCTTTAATACAGGGGGGGATGCGCGACAGCGGTACACGATCTTTGATACCCGCAGACATTGTCGTACTAGATACTTCAATCCCTCTGCCAGGCCGGAATTCCTAATCCATGACATAATTGCCTCTACGCCTGAAGCAATCAGGTCCATCCGCTTGCTACAAGACAGCGTACCGGGGTTCCCCACCCCGCAATTCACTGTCACCCTGGCTGCCTCGATGCCGGGATGGATCACCCTGCCTTTTGACGCCAGAGGCATAGGTCACGGAATTTGCACCGCCAGCGTGCAGCCAGGATGTTCGTGGAGGACACTTGGCGAAACATTGGATTACGAATGTGCAACCGCCGCCAACAGCCGTGACCTCGGCGAAGACTTCCTAAGAAGGGCAAGCGCAAATACCATCACCATGCGAACCCCGCATATGCAGATCAATGACCCTTTGCCAAGGGCTCTACATGACATCGACTACATCCGTCTCTCGCAGCGACCCCCCCCACCTCCGGTGCCGACTCCACTGCCTGAG